TCTTTAATAGTGAACATCATGTGGTCAGTCATTTATTATGCACTTTATGTGATAATCCATTAAGTATCTCAAAAATTGTTCATGTGCACGCTGTAAATCTGTAGTTACAAACCAGAGATGGATCATCCTGTCTTGGAAAGGCAGTCTCAGTGCTGGGTATAAATAAAATGAAGAGCACTCTCTAAGAAATTTAAGGATGCTAATTAATGTAAAGATCATTGCATGAACATTGTGTCACTCAGAGCTATAGATATTTTTAATTTAGGTTGGTTTAGAGTATTTTTCTAATATGACTAAAAAGTCTAGGCCTGATCTTGTTTTTATTATTCTCTCTATTCGAGCAGACAAATCTATTGCTCATAAAGTCTGACAAACTGAGATGGGAACTACTTACTCCCTCCTGAGCTCCATGAACATCATCATAAAGGGCATCATATTTTTTAATATATATATAACCTTTTCTGTATGCAGTACAACTTCTTCCACTTCAGGTAGTGCCACCACAGTTTTATTAAAACAGAACTCCAGGGGAATATTTGAGGAAGACAGAAGGTTCGTCTCAGGCAGGACTGCAGGATTGCACCCTTGGAAGAAATGAAAGAGCTTGAGAGGAACTTTGCAAAACTGCGGGAATGAGAGCCCTGGGATCTCAGCCCGGCTTCCAGTGTTGGCCGAGCAAAGGGGGATTGTTTTTGTTTATTCTCCTGTTGACTCTGGGAATCTTTCATCTCTCCCTGCACAGTCACCAGGCTTCAGTGGGAGGAATGAGGAACAGGAGGTGAGGGTTTGAACCCAAACAGGCTGAACAAAGCAATTCATGAGAACACGCTGTAACCCCTTGTGTGCTAATATGCAAAACTGGAGAAACATTTCTTCCTCCTGATATGTTTTTGAAGAGAATTATGACTGAATTCAGTGGAGTCTGAAAGCGTTTGTGGGACCAGCCCTTTCAGAGCTGCGGTGCCTTTACGTGCCTGTCTCTGGATCTCACAGCAAAGGTTAAACAAGTCGCACTTACGCCAATGCCACGGTGGCTGCTTGGGTTTAGACCTAACAGGAACATTAGGTGCAAGAGAGAGTTGGTGAGCGATTTTAGGACTGCATCATGCTGGAAAACTGGTGTTCAAAATCAGTCCAGGAGTGATTTATCTTGCCTACAACCAGTTGCCTCCAATGACTCAACTGAAATCCGTCTTAATTCACTCTTCCCGCATCTTATAAACAGGATTTTTTCGGTCCTAAAACTTACTCAATGAACAGTGAACCATAGCTTTACATGTACTTCTTTTCTCTCTAATCATTTTTTCTCCCCCTTTTGAATAGATAACGTCATTTTCTTCTTAGAGACTATATGAAGGGGTGGGGGGATTTATTCGTTTAATTCTGTTTTCCAGTATTCAGAAGGGTTTGGCATTCAGCAGCAGAAAAACAGAGGAGTTTACTATTGTTTATTTCCAGAACTGATTGAATATAAATTCCTTATCATTACCTTTCAAAAGCTTGTTTATAGTACTCTTACAGTTTTCAGAAAATAGTCCCATTTTTCCCTATTTCCTGTAATTTGCATTTTTCTGACCTGCACTTTTATTCAACAAAAATGAGATGGATACCCTCTTAAAACTGCAGAATAAAAGAGAGTAAATCTATAGAGGACACTTATCGTTAAAAAAAAAAAAAAAAAAAAAAGATAAATTACTCCTGTACCATTTAATTGTCTGAGGATAACTTCTATACACCCACACACTCCCTTGAGCCCCTGCATGGGATTGTTTAGGTGTTTTCATTAGGGGATAAATAGAATTAGAGTACACCATTTACAAGAACCATTTAAGTGGCATCAAAGGTAAAAATATGACCATAATAAAGAAAATGTAGTTCCCCTCAAATGGTATTATCAATTGATTTCTCTCTACACATATAATAGGAACGACTCTGCATAACTTTAAAATGTAGGTATGGTAAACACAACATCCAGAAAGTTACATGTCAGCATTTCCCACATTAGCTGCGATTTGAGGCAATACCTAGATGAGGAAAGCAGTATGTCATCCCAGTTGTACTGTATGCTGCTTTGGGATAAGAACACCGTTACCTGCCACCCAGCATATTAAGGCTGTCATTAATATAGCTTCTTTTGAAATTCTGAAAGCTTTGATTTTTTTTGTCATTAAAATGTCTCTGTGTACTTGGGCAGGCATTTTAAAGTGCACTGACATGTTTGGCAATCGGTGACGTATTTGTCAATGATAAGCAGCAAGCCTTGTCTTGTGAGTGGGTGCCTTCCTCAGTGTCACGGGTTTAAGATGTGCTTGTAGTCAAAAAATACTACATTTCAGATCTAGGTATTTGCTAAAAGTAGCCTTCCAACTACAAGCAGGTGTAGTCCCACGTGCATTTATCCACCAGACAACCTAAGATGGCAATGGAGTGTTGAACAGTTGATGAAAGACATGAACTACCTCCATTCATCCCAGTGGCTCTCTGAATCCTGCCAAATTCCCAGTGTCCCTGCTTCACCGATGCAAAAGCAAGGAAGTCAGGGGATCGTGTGGCAACATGTCTGTCCTCTCAGCTGACAGCAAAACAGTTACATGTTAAAATACAGGCTCAAATTTATGGCCTTCTCTTAAGCAGGTTACAAGCTCAGACTGACCCATCTATAAATAATTTAGAGGGTATAATTTAATCTAGGCAATGGATTCAGTGTGTTTCCCCGGCACCGGTAGACCACATAAAACTTCTTACTCGGCGTATTCAGATATCGCTGAAGAAAGTCCTCAAATTTTTCATCATGGAAGCATAGGAAAAATAATTCAGCAAATTAAGCAGAAACTTTATTCCAACAATATTCTGAGAAGTAAGAATATAATACTTACAATTAAGCAGTGCTAAAGTGTTTGCCCAAGTCATGGGACATCCTGCTAGGAAGCGTTCCCTGAGTTCCTTATATCTCAAGTATGAGATTGCCTGGTGTTAATCTACCCGGGAACTTAATGAACACTGACCTACAATTCACAGGATGCTACTCCACACCAGCTCCCTTTGTGGACACTTTTGACATGCACTTTGAGTAAGGTAGTTTGCCACTTCGGTGTATTTGTAACCTTCCTTGTTCAAAACAGCTTCCCTTTGTAGACAAACATTTAATTTTATCACTACATACTATTTTCTTGGTCTTGCAGAAGAATTCCTTCATTTCAAATGCTGAATGTGCTTGGACTCCTAATGAGGGGAAAAAGTAGATCATCTGATGATAGTGTTTGGATGTATTGAGCTCATTGTGTCAGAAATATTTTAAATTCTCATAAAAATCCTGGAAGGAAGCACTTAGGCTGGGAAATAATAAGCAAAAACACAACTGTAGGGGGAAAAAAGGAAAGAACCTACAAACATGTAGGGTATGGAGTGGCAAAGTGTTAAATTTTCCTGTAAATTAGCAATACCTTTAGACATAGGTGTGTTTAAAAACCGATGAACTTGCTTTGTTGAGATCTTTGTTACAGAACTCACTGGTGAATGACACTGGGCCCAAAAGTGCTTTCACAGATTTATGTGGAAAAGTATTTAGGAGAAAAATTCTTTCTTGTTGAATGTAGTGTTTTAATACCAGAAATCTACTACCTTTTCTTTCCATTATTTTGTCAAAGCTGCTTGATTTAATCCAACGGGGTGGAATTTTTCAGTGTGTTAGAGAATGATTTTTTTTTTTTTTAATAGAAGTAAACCAGGTACCATGTTGTTTCACTTGTATCCTCTCTTCTGCTTATTGTTAAAAGTGGCCTGATCTCAATCCCACTGAAATCACTGAGATCTCTGATACAGAATACAATCAGAAGAGGAGCGTGCCTGTCATCAGTTTCCATTACTCTCCAGAAGCAGGTTTATCTGTGTGGTAGAGCAAGGATAGGTGCCCAAGCACTCTCATTTATTAGCACTGTTCAATTCTGGTGAAAAGCACAGCTTTCTTAAATTGGGGTGTGCTTTGCCTGCTGTTGTCACCTGCCTCATCAGCCCCTCTGCTGGCAGGGTTATTACTGATGACGTAGACCACTGAAATTGTACTTCTTCATTTCAGATGTCATGAGCATGTCATTAAAACCATACGGTTTGGCTTGTCATTTGGGTAGAACTGATGGAGAAATTCATCCTTGATGGAGAACCCCAAGGGGTAGTTTTTTATATTGTCCCTTCTTATCTGGTAGCCCCAGTAATCATTATGAACTACAAAGTGAACTTTCACAGCTGAACTTTTTTTAAAATAAAGGGCCTATATCTCCAACTGGAAGCAGAAGCACAACATCCTAGGCTAAAAGAAGTGATCTTCGTTTGTTACATAGCGGATCACCTGGGAGACAATATAAAATGGATACAGAAATCCTCAAAATCAACTGGGGAAAAAAAAAACCCACCCAAAAGATGTTTGTAGACAATTCTACTGATCCAGCTGTAACTTAAAATTTGGAAATAAGAGCATTTTATTTGAGCAGCCTTTCTCAAAGATATCTTACTTTACTTTTTCCAGGAGTCACTGATGTGATGCCTCCACTTTTTTTTTTTCCAGCTTAATGTATTGGGTCAAATGGTGAACAAATGAAGACAGCAGAAGAATCTGTCTTCTGCCTCCCTTCAAAGCATGACGTAGCTGTGGGCCTGTGTTATGACCGTCACCCAGATCAGGGACTGGAATAGGGGTTTTTTAGCTCCATACAAAAATAATGAGATCAGTGAGACCAAGGCAAGAGGAAGCTCAGGAAACGTGTCCCATTCTCACCTCACACAAACCAGTTCCACTGCCGGCCACAGGAGGAAGAGACAGACTTTATCTTCTTTATTTTCTTATGAATATCGCTATCCTGCACAGCCTTTAACTGACAGTAGCGGACTACTGTCATTTCAACCAGGAAAGAAGAATGTTAGTTCGTATAATTTTTTAATTGCTTAAAAATCGTGTAATTATTTGGCTTGAGCACCATTGTACTTAGACACGCTGTCTTTTCTAGGTAACATTTCGGACAAGAATCTACCACTGTAATATTAACAGCCAAGGCGTCATCTGCCTGGACATTTTAAAAGACAACTGGAGTCCAGCATTAACCATTTCTAAAGTTCTCCTCTCCATCTGCTCCCTCCTCACAGACTGCAACCCGGGTAAGGCGAATTAACTTTCACATTCGCGTTCATTCACAGTTCATATTCAATCCACTACTAGGACGTGGTCAGTGAGCTGTTTTACTGCTACCTACTTAAAAAAGACAAAAATGTAAATTTGAAATGCCATTCATATAAATTAAGACATAGTATAGAAAGGAAGCACAAGTGCATTTTTAGTATTTGAGAATAAAAAAAATCTTTTAGTTCAAAAAGTGTAATCGGTAGAAAATACCTTGTGGTAGGCACTAATTTGGATATTACAACTAGGATATTAGTACCAAAAAATATTAATGAGTTAATAAATATTGAAAAGGAAAGCTTTCATTTAAATATGCTGATAATATGGTCTCTGAAAAGAATATTAATAGTACTGACAATGATAGATGTCTAACACAGACTTTACAAATAATGAAAATTAATTTAAATGAGGTTTATTCAATATCCTGGACAGCCAGTATGAGTATTCAAAGCAACCTGTCATTCTTATTAACTAGCATAGCACTTAACCTCTTCCCTCAGCTCTTTTAGATTTGTTTTCTGCCATTGACCACTAGATCTGTAATTTCCACTTTCTCTTACCCTATTTACCAATGAGTAATTCTGACTGTAGCCTTGGAAAATCATAGCATATAGAAATTATTAAAGAATCATTAAAGAAAAAATAAGTGACCTGTTTACATGTTGTAAGGGTTGTTGCTGATTTATTTTTAATTGTACACGTCAGTATTTTTTTTTATTTGCCAGCTAGTTTTTAAACCTTTAGGTTTCCTGTTTTTAAACTTTTCTCCCCAACCAAAGAACTAAAAATTGCTTTGCAAAGGGCACAATCTTCTGTAATCAAGGGCTGAGTCAAAAGCTGTAACAGAAGGCTGAATTATTTCCAAGCTCAAAATAAGGTGAAAGTGGGCAAAAATGCAATTGACTCTTTTTATTCTCATGTGGGTTTGTTACTGTATATAGCATTACAACCCATGGCGTTCCTTCCAGCCAAGAGCTGGGGTGGTAAAGGAGCCCTGTGTTACCATTTCCGGCACATTTATTTCAGGTGTGTTGGATGTGCTCTCCTTATGTCTCTGCAAGATGGACTTCTCCTAGTGTCTGCCCCAAACTATGCAGAGGTGCCTATAGGAAGTCAGGCAGATGCATGACAGAAGCGTAAAGAAAAGCAAATGAGTATTTGCTCATGTGTCTTAGAGACTGAGTAAAGAGCTAGAGAAACTGCAAAGCTGTGTTGGGATTGAGAAACTGGCAGTAAGTATGTGCTCATTTGTGGTCATCTCTCTTTGGAGGGATGTAGTCAACTTGAAAGGTGGCCACTTTCCACTAGTGATTTGACATTTAGAAATATACTACCTCTGCCCTCTCAATCTTTTTCTTTCCCTCAGACTATTATACAGATGCTGTTAGACAAGAGTTTTAGCTGACCAAGTGTGTAAGAGGAACACTGAAAACAGTTACCCGTAATATATTATCATATGAAAGAAGTTAGCATACTAGAAACAGGAGGTTTTTCTTCCCTTCAGTTTCTTTCAGTTACTAGCATTGTCATGACCATAGTAAATAAAACAGTTTTATGACATTTTATTTTCAAATGTTCTCTTTAATTACAAAGCAGTTTGGGATTTTGTTACTGCTTCATGTTAAATTTTTCCTATGATTTTTTGAGCAATGAATGCAATTTCTTAATTCGTATTGTAAATTCCCCTCTTACGAGGAGCTGATGGCAGGTAGATGTGAACCACTGAGTCATTTTTGCCTTCCTTTGAGATTGCCTGTTTCATGTTAGATTTTTTTTTTTTTATAATAAGTGAACTTTGAGTGTTAGTGACGTAAAACAGAAAGCTTGCAAAAACTTACAAGTTCTTACTTTTCAGTGTATTGCCTAATATGCTACAGCCTGTTCTGGTTGTACTGCTTGTCCTGTTAATTTTTTTATGACATTTTATCATTAACAAATTATTGGTTCCGTGCCATCCAGATTGAACATGATAGATAGATAGATAGATAGATAGATAGATAGATAGATAGATAGATAGATAGAGGCATACGTCACTGGTATCACTGAGATACCTATCACTGAGATGTATCACATATATATGCACATATATATATCCAGAAACATACATATATGTATTTTCCTCTCTGTCAGCTGGGAGTAATTTTCTAACCCCTCGGTCTTCTCTTCATCTAACTACTCTGCTTCTTTCTAAAGGCAGAAACCCAACAGGGGTCTCGATTTGATAAGCAACTCTGAACTCTTTGTTCACCATTCATCAGCCAGAAGCAGATCAGGTCAAATGGAAAGGCAACACTGCATCTCCCACAAACATAAACACTTGGGATAGGCGAGTTTTCCACCCCCAGCCTCTCTGAAGGGAAAAATCAAGTATCAGTTACCCCCTAGTCTTACATTTATGCAAATCTTCATTAGAACAACAAATAGCGGTAAGAATGGCAGCTAATTAACCCTCAGTCATACACAGTGATTAAACGAAGCTGGAGCACAGCTGCAGCTTCATTGGCAAGCACTGCTATTCTTCTCCAGCAGGCTGAGCAAATGAAAAGAGGTATTTGCTCCTGCCGCTCCTGTCATTCACGCGGTAATCTACAAAAGCCACGGAGAGAGTCTCTTTCCTCCCCGGTTATACATCACCGCCCTTTGTTCCCTATCACTCCAGGCAGGAGCGAGTTTGTCCTTTTTAAACAACTAATACAATCCTTTACTCATAAGCTGTCTCAGCGCCTTCAGTCCTGATTATTATTAATTGTCTCTATTTTGCTTGGCAGTATCAGCCAGTAAACTGTGTTAATGAAATGTCTGAATTTTCTAACAGCTGGCTGACTTTTTTTTCAAGGGGGGAAGGGGTGCTGTAGGGTTTGTGGATGGGCGAACATGTGTGAATTATCTGGGAGTGCGAGAGAGCCAACTGGAATGGTATCAGAGACATGGGAGAGATGATGGGATATGCTAGCATTCAATCCAGTGATTTGTATTTTTCTTTAAGGTGGTACTCCGGGACACAGCACGCATCTCTTTCTACAAAGCAAGGCCCCAATCCCCGAAATATTTTGGCATGTGCACAAACAACCCCAAAAAACCTGATAGGTACATTCATCTGCATGAAACCAAGTATGCGAGGAAGTACTCGGAGGCTCTGTGCTTGAGCGCTGAAAATACTTATTTCCAGTGTTAGCTGCTAGGGCTTGCCTACGTGGGCAGGCAGTCTTTTCAGAGTAACTCCATGTGTGGACACTCACCTCTTTGAAAATGTAGTAAGTCACAAAAAACTGTCTTACTTGGAGTAAAAAGTCAACTGTACTTTAAGTATTCAAGTGGAGCCCAGGGAGTGTAAATTCCCACACTGCCTTAATCCAAAGGAACTTTCAAATGTGGATGGCCCCTGAGGTTTTGTATTTTTACTGAGCTTCAAGTATGAAAGCAAATTAATTATTTTTATATTTAGAGAGCTGGTGATGCTGATCTGGGTTGAAATGCTTACTATTCTCAGTTGGTCATTGCCACCTCAGCCCTGCCAAAGGTTCTCGAGCCCCAGGAAAATTCTCATTTGCAAATGCTTCAGAGAAAATAAATTGAAACACCGACGAGACTGCGCTACAACTTTTTTCTTTGCATGGCCTCCTTTTTCACACATTCAAAGTCTGAACTTGGCTGGCCTGATTATCCCTGATGTCTGAACACTCTAACGTCGCATCATGTCTGCTTAATAACACGCGGCTAAGCCTTGATTAGGACATCAGAACAAAACCTGCTACATCTCCCTCACTCCAGCCTCTTCACTTCTGGTGTCATCCTCTGCCTCTAGCTCCTTACCATTTTTCCCACACACAAGTTCCACGGCCAGTGGGGATTTTATCTCTCAATCATACCATTGACATTCCCAAATCAAACGCTTCAGTGCTGCTCCTGCCCCTGTTCCCCGTGTGGCAGGCCGTGCCCGGCTGCGAGCTCCTGCGCTGGGGATGTGCACGGTGGTGCAGACAGAGGGTAAGAGGGGCAGCCTGAGATGGGGAGCAGCCGCGGCATTGCTTTCCCACAGATGTGCCCCATTAGGCTGAACACTTGGCTGGCTGCTGTAATCAAAAAAATTGGTATGGGGCTCTAGAGAGCCTCGCTAGCTTTGCTCTTTAGAGCATTTCTAGCCTGAACTTACACCCACTTGGTTTTAAGCAACTCTTATCTTATAACTTAAGTGACAGTTTTTCTGTTTTTCATTCCCAATGTATTAATGAAAAACCACCCTCTTATAACAGCATCCTGGCTTGTATCAGGAATAGTGTGGCCAGCAGGAGTAGGGAAGTGATCGTCCCCCTGTACTCGGCGCTGGTGAGGCCACACCTCGAGTACTGTGTTCAGTTTTGGGCCCCTCACTACAAGAAGGACATTGAGGTGCTGGAGTGTGTCCAGAGGAGGGCAACAAAGCTGGTGAAGGGTCTGGAGCACAAGTCTTATGAGGACCAGATGAGGGAACTGGGGTGGTTTAGCCTGGAGAAAAGGAGGCTGAGGGGAGACCTTATGGCTCTCTACAACTGCCTGAAAGGAGGTTGCAGCCAGGTGGGTGTTGGTCTCTTCTCCCAAGTAACAAGTGACAGGACAAAAGAAAGCAGCCTCAAGTTGTGCCAGGGGAGGTTTAGATTGGATATTGGGAAAAATTTCTTCACCGAGAGGGTTAACAATCATTGGACCAGGCTGCCCAGGGAAGTGGTTGAGTCATCATCCCTGGAGGTAATTAAAAGATGTTTAGATGTGGTGCTTAGGAACATGGTTTAGGGGTGAACTTGGCAGTGCTAGGTTAATGGTTGGACACAATGATCTTAAGGATCTTTTGCAACCTAAATGATTCTATGATTCTTTTCTCCTGGTCTTTATTTGCTGCACACTAACCAGATCTGTGTCTATTAGTTTCCTTCCGTAAGAGAGGCTTTCTGTTCCCCTGCTCGTTGTCGCAGCCCCCTCCTGCCCCTCCATCGCTCTGCAG